GAAAACAAAATCTTTGGGAATGTCTGTCCTCCATGACCACAGCGCAGTATTTTGCATCAGGAAGTTAACCCTGATGGGACCCTATCTCATCCGCGGATCTCTGATTGCACCGAATGTTCCCAGATCTCTTTTACAGCAACTAAAACTCCTGAATGGGAAGTGGGGAGCGAGTGTTTCGTGGGGACAGAGTTTCTGTTGGGAAAGAGGAAAGGAGACAGACCGTGGTAACGTTTGCGCGGCGATATGGAAGTTCATGCCATGGAACCACACACTTAGAAATGGTAAACTTTATCTGATGAATATTTTACCCCAACAAAAAAATGACTGTGTACAAAAATAAAAAGTTTATTCGAACACAGTTGATGTCATATGTATCACCATAAAAACAGGCAAAATTACACAACACCTATGTGATAGATTTCATTACAAAATAATATTGCGTTGCTAGAGGGACTCCTGCACAAAATAGCTGGGCCTTGTTAAATCTGAACATGTAGGAGGCAAAATACAAAAAAAAAAAAAAAGGGTAATTTTTTTATACTGTCATTAAAAAAAAATTTTTTTTTTAATGTTTATTCATTTCCTGAGAGAGAGAAAGAGAGAGAGAGAGAGAGAGACAGAGTGGGCAGGGGAGGGGCAGGGAGAGAGGGAGACACAGAATCCCAAGCAGGCTCCAGGCTCTGAGCTGTTAGCGCAGAGCTCGACACGGGGCTTGAACTCACGAACCGCGAGCTCATGACCTGAGCAAGTTGGATGCTTAACCGACTGAGCCACCCAGGCTCCCCTGTGCTGTTCTTGTTTTTATTAATAACCTCAGATAAGATCCTAAACCCCAAGAAGCTTCCAGTCTCGCGGAGATAGACTAGGAAACAGGCACGTAGGACCCAGGAAGATCCGCAGAGGCCCTGGGGCTGATGAAACACAGTGGAGAAACAGGGCCCGGAGAGAGGAGATCAGGGAGGCCTTCCTGAAAGAGGTGGTGCCCTGCGCAAGGAAAAGCTAGTGTGGCACGTCGGATTGTGAGTGGGGAGGCTGGGCAGAGACGCGGGGATGTGACCCTGGCCCTCAGGGATGTGGTGAGAGGGTGGGTCAGAGCCTGGCGGCTGGTGGAGGAGTCAGCGCCGGGGGCCTTTTGACCGGGCCACGCTGGTCTTCGTTGCCTCTGACTCTGGCAGTGACCCTCCAGGGCGGCCTCAGTTCTCCCCGCGAGGAGAGAGAACCACTGAGGGGTGAGGCCGGCGCTGGAGCTCAGACCCAGCACGACCTCGGTGCCCTGAACGAAAGGGTGCTAAGGACGGGGAGCCTCTCTCAGGGTGAGCCCCGTGTCACCCACACGGCTGGCTGAAGCTTCCTTTCAGGGCCCGTACCTGGCCCCGGGGGGGGCCCAGTGAGGATTCCACGGGGGGTCCTGCCCTTTCCCCCAGTCCAGAAAGTTCCAGCTGGACCTCGGGTCCTGCCAAGAGCTACCCCCGCCCCGCTCTGCCACGGGCCGACCTCTCAGGTTCCCTTCCGGAGGGGGCCGGAGCGACTGGGCAAAGAGGCCCAGGTCTGGGTGGGAACCGGCCTCCTGTTTCCCTAACACCCGGGTGCCCGAGTGAGGACCACCCAGCCCCGGGTTCCCGCTGTGCCGCCAGAGCATGCCCCATCCAGGAACCCCTCCATCCTGTGGCAGGATCTATCACCTCTGCTGTTTCCAACAAGAAGCACTATTTTTGGACCAAAGCAGCAGGCGACCGGGAGACCCACGGGAAGAGCAAGCTGGACGGTAGGAGGCCACAGCGAGCGTCCCCTCCGTGGGATGTGATTGGGACACGACGTGGAGCCGCCCTCCTACTCTGTGTTTGCAGAAGACAGAGGTGGGTGGCTTCCCGCTGATCTGCCTTGGCCCGGGGGGCGCCAGCAGAAAAAAGGAGCTGGTTCGCCAACCAGGCCACAGGCTCCGATGATCCCAGGCCTGGAGGTCGGTCCCGAACACATTTCCAAAGCGCAGAGCACGAGCCACTGATCGTAATTCACGGCAAGCGCTCAGCCCGGATAGTCATGTGTCTGCTCCCCCCCAGCGAGGCAGGAAAAAATGCCTCCCTCGTGGGCCTTGGCAGCTGGCTCCTGGGGCATGTCCCAGTCACAACCCCAGGCACGACTCAGAGTCCCCAGCTGGCGGGGGACGTTTGAGATCAGCCAGCCCAGCCTCTCAGTTTACAGTCAGGAACGGACGTAGGGCGGTTGTGGCTGTCCAAGGTCACAGAGCCCAGGAGGGGAGCGGTGGGCACAGTGGAAAAAGCAAGGACACGTGAGCCGGGCCGGCGGGCGCTGGGGCCAGGCCCGCGGCTCCCGGGCTGGCGGCTCAGGGCTATGGCTCAGCCCCTCTGTGGCTGCCAACCCTGGGAGCAGGGAGCAGACCACAAGCCTGCAGGCCCACTTGAGGCCGAAGCGCCCTGTGCACAGTGGGCATGTCGTCGATGGCCTCACTGGGCAGCCAAGCAAGGAGAGAGCCCGGGCACCTGACCCTCTGTCCAGGAAGGACGGCAGTGAACTGCTTTGCTCCGGATCGATGCCACTCTTAAGGTGTAACCCCTGATTAGTGACCACTGCTCCCGTGCCAGACAAGGCAGGGATGCACCCAGCATAAGGGACAGCCAGGTCCCCGTGCTTAACATCTGAACCAAAAGATACATAAATACCATCGATGATTGAGGCAATGGCAGGCAAGGTTATTTGGATCAATTCTCTCTCTAGAAATAAGTTTTAAAAAATGTATTAAAAAATGCTGGGGTGTCTGGGTGGTTCAGTCAGTTGAGTGTCCGAGTTCGGCTCAGGTCATGATCTCACCATTTGTGAGTTCGAGCCCCGCGTCGGGCTCTGTGCTGACAGCTCGGAGTCTGGAGCCTGCTTCCGATTCTGTGTCTCTCTGTGTCTCTCTCTCTGTCTCTCTGCCCCTACCCCACTCGTGCACTCTCTCTCTCTCTGTCTCAAAAATAAACATTAAAGGGGTGCCTGGGTGGCGCAGTCGGTTGGGCGTCCGACTTCAGCCAGGTCACGATCTCGCGGTCCGTGAGTTCGAGCCCCGCGTCGGGCTCTGGGCTGGTGGCTCAGAGCCTGGAGCCTGTTTCCGATTCTGTGTCTCCCTCTCTCTCTGCCCCTCTCCCGTTCATGCTCTGTCTCTCTCTGTCCCAAAAATAAATAAAAACGTTGAAAAAAAAATTAAAAAAAAAATAAATAAAATAAAATAAACATTAAAAAAAATTTTTTAAGTGCTTACAAATTATGTTAAAAACCTCTAAAAGTGGCCAAAATAGTGGCACACCTCCAGGCCAAGTTTGGCGTGGGAGGGACAGCAGGCAAGGAGAGAGGTTGCAACAGCCTTTTTGTCCTGAGGGCCTTTGCCAATCTGGAAAGTTTGGGCCTTGACCTTGGTGGAGCCGGACATGTGAGGACAGAAGTCAAGGTACCAGGTTTCTAATGGGAGGCTCTCCCTCGTGTGAAGCAGGGGGCCCGAAGGCCACACACACCAGAGAGTGGGAAACAAGGTGGCGTGGGGGAACTTTCTGGCAAGTCTGCAGGAGCCCAGAGACTGCCTTGCTCTCGCACGGGGAAATCAGGGGGTCGCCGGCCAGTGAAACAGGAGTCCTGTGCGGAAAGCGCCAGCCCAGTCCTGGGCACCTGCTTAGCCATACTAGATTGTGTTTTCTGGGGTGGGGGAGGGTTGTTTTAAAATTAAACTCAGCACTAGGGGCGCCTGGGTGGCTCAGTCGGTTAAGCGTCCGGCTTCAGCCTAGATCACCATCTCGTGGTTCGAGCCCCGCATCGGGCCCTGTGCTGACGGCTCGGAGCCCGGAGCCTGCCTCGGATTCTGTGTCTCCCTCTCTCTCTGCTCCTCCCCCGCTCACGCTCTGCCTCTGTCTCTCAAAAAGAAATAAATATTAAAGAAATGCATGAAATTAGACTCAGCACTAACACTTTGCTCAGATGCTGCTTTTCCACGTGGAGAAATGAAGGGGTAAGTTGACGGTCCCCTCACCACCCCACCCGGGGTCTGGTTTTCCCACCAGCCATCTACAAACCCCACCCGCCAGGGTGCTGCTCTGGTGTCCTGCCCCACGCCACCGTCACCTTCTAGAGGCTGTTCCCGTGATCGCCTTCACGCACGTGTGGAATTCAACCTTCTTTCTGCCTCCAGCCAGCTCCTTGCCCTGCACACCCCAGGCTCCCAAGCAGAGGGAACCTTTCCCTGCAGAGCTGCCCCCCCACCCCCACCCCAGGTTGCCTGATGGCTTGTGAGCCGGGCCCCCACGTGGGTGTAACTCCCGAGGGCTCCCAAGGCAGCCAGCCGCCCACACCCCGTTCCCTCGATTTGTCAAAGATCAAAATCAGGCCCTCACGTAGGATCGTATACTCCACGTGCAAGTCCCAACACAGCCCAGAATGTTGACTTGCAAATAAATACCATAAGTAAATCTGGAGGAGAGAGCTAGCCGGGCACAGAAAGACTGGAAAAATGTCAGGAGGCCTTCGCAACATGCTCTGTGTTTACCAGTAAACAGAGCCCATCCGGGCCAGCAGGCCCCGGACTTTGGGCTTTCCAAACCAACAATGTTTTAAACGGCTTTGGGGACTGACGTGGGGGCGGCTCTTGTCCTCGACTCAGGTCGTGATCTCACGGTTCGTGAGTTCCAGCCCCGCAACGGGCCCTGCGCGGATGGTGCGGAGCCCGTTTGACATTCTGTCTCTCCTTCTCTCTGCCCCTCCCCAGCTTGTGGTCTCTCTCTCTCTCGCTCTCTCTCGCTCTCAAAATAAATAAATAAACTTTAAAAAGGGGGGGTGGCATTTTCAATAACAACACAAGAGCGTAAAGGACATACTCTCAGGGACAAAAGGGATATTTCTTTAAAATTTTTTTTTAATCTTTATTCATTTTTGAGAGAGAGACAGAGTGAGAGTGGGGGAAGGGCAGAGAGAGAGGAAGACTCAGAATCCGAAGCAGGCTCCGGGCTCCGAGCTGTCGGCACGGAGCCCCACGCGGGGCTCGAACCTACAAACGGTGAGTTCTTGACCTGAGCCGAAGTCGGACGCTCCACCTCCTGACCCCCCCAGGCGCCCGTAGATCTACTGGATTCCTAATGTCTGCTAGTTCCACGGGGGTTATCGGGGATGTCCGAGGCAGAGGCAGTGATGTGCATACATCCCTGTATTTGTAACGCGTTTGTGTCCAACATCCCGTGTCTCATGTCTGCACTCCCCCTGACCCTGCCCACCCACGACAGTGTAATTCCCTACCGGACTCAGGTGATGGCGAACCCCGTATCCGGCAGAGTGGCATATCCTCCATCAAGGAAATTCACCTGTCCATCATGCTTTATGGCGAGGCTCCGACCTACTGGGTCACACGGGTCCCGAAGCTCCAAGCCCACTGCTCTAAACTGGACAAAAGACATCAGCGACCCGGCCCCCATCCTAAGGAGCTGAAGCCATCCGGGGAAGGCCTAGCAAGTGCTGCTGGGGAGGGAGGGGGAGGGCAGCATCGCTGCCTCGGGCTTCTCAAGAACGACAGAGACAGATTGATCGATTGATGGGAGACAGAGACCCACGTTGAGGCGGAGCCTCTAGCAAAGCCAGCCCGTCAACGGCAGCCGGGGCCGGTTCAGTAACGGCGATCGGTTAGCACGTATCATTTATTATTTTTACAAATCTGACGGAATCGAGCCGAACTCCCCTCCGGGCCACGTCTGCGGGTCTTGGGCCATTTCCAGTCTCTCCCCTTGAACCCGGCCCCTCTCTCCTGCCACGGGCTTCCGCACATGCTCTGCCACCCCACGGTGCTGGGGCCGAGACCGATCCCTAATACCGTGGTCCTGCACCTGCCAGAGACAGCTGGGTTATCGGGCCAGGGGAGCGCTGGCTTCTGGACCAGACAGCCCACCTCTGGGGGTACCCTGGGGCTGGTGCAGATGGCAGAACGGATGTGGACTCTGACAGCCCGGTTCTTGCCCCCTCCTGGAGATCTCAGCCACACGATATCATTTCCGGCCCTTGGCTTCTTCATCTATAAAATGGGGAGGAACCTAGCTGCCTCGTGGGACTGCCGTGAGTTCCATGCCTTAATGTGACAGGACTTCTTTGTCTGGACCCGTGAGGCTTTGCTGTCATTACTAGGACGGCAGCCACGTACGTGCCCTCGGTCGGCCTCTCACCGAGGTCCAGCCGCGGGCCACGGGGCAGCTCTGTCCCGGCCAGCAGTGAACTCTCCCTTTCTCTGTCTACGTTCCCTGCCCCCATCGATTTCCACCATCTGACCTGAGGGCAAGTTTCCAGGAGATCAGGGGCCACTGCCCTGGCTGATGACACTCCCAAGCACAAAGTCCGTCTCATCAGAGGCTTTGCAGATCAACAAAGGGCAAACAGGTGACCTGTAGAGGCCTCGGTTCCTGGAAAAGGGCTTACCTAAGCTTAGGGCAAACAGACAGACCCTGGCCTGCACCCCCAGCCCCACTGGGGGTGCTCTCCCCCACAGGGCTTGGGACCAGCAGTCAGGTCTCACATTCTCTCCAAACACAGGTGGCTGATGGCACCTTCTTACAAGTTCAGGGTCTAACCCACTGCCTGCGTCAAGTGGCAGGAGCCTCGTCCAGCTCCCTCCCCTCCCCCGCCCATGCCCCAACACCCTGATTCTCCCCCCAGAAGCCAAGGGGAGAGCCTCGACATCTCTGGTGAGATCAGGCAAGTTGGTTCATCCAGGAGCGGCTCACCAGGTGTGGGTTCCACAGACCCACCTCCTAACCTGGGCTCTGCAACTGGCCTATGTGACAAGGGACTTCTCTTGTGCCTTGGCCTCCCGGTTGTAATGTGGGCACAATAATAAGTTATGTCTCTGAACATCTTTACGATTAGAAACTGTGAGTAGACATGCTAAAACAGGGGCACCTGGGTGGCTCAGTGGTTAAGCGTCCGACTTCGGCTCAGGTCGTGATCTCACAGTCTGTGGGTTCGAGCCCCGCGTCGGGCTCTGTGCTGACGGCTCGGAGCCCGGAGCCTGCTTCGGATGCTGTGTCTCCCTCTCTCTCTGCCCCTTCCCCACTCACACTCTGTCTCTGTCCCTCAAAAATAAATCAACATTAAAAACATTAAAAAAAAAAAAAAAGCAAGAAATGCTAAAACAGCATCAGCACCAAAGAGAAGCTGTGTACCCCCAACACTCCTAGTATTTAGTGAGGCTCCAGAGGGACTCAGGTGGGGCCCAGACACATTGGCAAGGGCATTAATGTGTCTCTGAAGATACAGATTTCTGCTCAGTCCTGCAAAGGAAGCCGTCTCTGTTCTGTTGCATGGCTCACATTCTGCGACACTGGTGGTAAGGAGAGAGGGAGGGAGAGACTTCCAAGAGCTGGGGGCCGTATCCTTTGTGACAGTTTCTCCTATGGGGGATGTGTGTGGCGGGTTCTTCATGGCAAACAGGAACCCACACCCCTGCCCCCATGCTTGGAGCTGTTTCATGGAGCTGTTTGTCCCTGGGGGGAGGGAGGGGAGGGGAAGCTGTTGTTCAGAAGCGACAACTCGGTTCAAAAGGGACAACTCGGTTCAAAAGTGACAACTTCGAACACAGGCATGAAAAACAGGATTTGTCTCCCTAAAACCTTGGGAGCCCCAAGAATATAATTTCTCCATGTCTGCCAGGTGTAAATGCTACTCTGTTGAGCCCGGCTTCCTTTGTCCTCACCGGAAACGATTTTTCACCAGGTCTTTCCAGCTGCCTGGTTGAACGGGGCTTATGCCAGACCATCACAGCGGATCTGGGAAGAGAAGCCAACACCCCTGCATTTGGATTCTCGGTTTTTCACAGCCTGGGATCTGGAGCGTGTCAGGTGACGTCTTGGAACTTGGCTGTCCTCCTGAGGACATGAGCTCTGGACTTCCCTCACCGCTATATCCATGACACCCAGCGCTGTGTGGCTCCTAGCTGCGTTAGTAATAAAAGTTGGGCTTGTCGCTCTCAGAGCGGGAAGGTTATGTGGGTGTCTGCAGGGCGGGGCAAAGTTCACCCCACCTAGGGGCCCATCAACACGGGTGAGTTGAAGAGACGTCTGTGAAAGGGCCTGGGCTCCAGAGTCTCTGCGTAATGCGGGGATTTGTTTGGAGCTGGGTATCCTGCCCTGCGCAGGTCCTCCTGGGCGCTCGCCGCTACAAATAGAACAGTGACAGGAGCAGCGGGAGGGCAGGGAGGGAAGCTGGCATAGCACACATTTCGTTCCCAAGGGAGGGGTGTCCTGATGCGCTGGCACCGGGGGCTTTGTGCATTCCGTGCGTCGCCGCGCAGACAGAGCAGCTTTGCAGCTCTCTCCCCTGCTCCTCGTCATTGGCTGCCGGGCCGCGACCTCCCCCTGCACTGGCAGAGGCCCAGCGCCTTGGCTGGGCACAAAGCAGCCCCTCACCCCCGACGCACGGCGGGAGGGGGCACGGCTCTCCCTCGGTCCGGGTGCGGGTGTGGGTGTGGGGCGGGTGGTCGGGGTTGACAGCGCTTCTCCACGCTGTCCCCGCTGCCCTTCACCCTTCTCTGTCCCCCGCCCGCCGGGGCACCTCCGCCACCTGTTGACGCGTCCTCCCAGCTCGTGTTCTCTTTCTCCTTCTGTTGAATCCTGGGGTCCTCGGGACCGGTCCTTCCCACCCCCCTCGCCCCCCTCCCACCCCGGGCACCCCGAGACTCCAGGGCGCTCGCGCCTCGGCCCGGGCCTAGACCGGCTCGGAGGAGGCCAGGGCTCCCGAGGGAGGAGGAGGGGCCTCGCCAGCGTGGCCCCGGCGCCGGGCGGGAACCTCCAGGGTCCCGCGGCCTCGCGCCGGCCCCCGCCGCGACTGCAGCCCCACCCGGCGCGCGGGCCCGGACGCGCGCCTACCCCCA